AAGTAGCTAGAACTACAGGCACGCACTACCACGCCCAGCTAATTTTTTTTCGATTTATTGTAGAGATGAGGTCTCGCCAAGTTGCCCAGGCGGGTCTCGAACCTGCAGGCTCAGGCAATCCACTCACCTTAGCCTCCCAAAGTGCTGGGATTACAAGCTGAGCCACCAAGCCCGGCTACTTTCTCTAAGTATTAAAACCAACTCAGAGAAGCAGAAAGCAAAAAATGATAAATTTTAAAAATCTTAATCTGTGCTTTATGTCTTATAGAACCAAGTCAGCATTAAAGAACTACCATTTAAAAATCAGTAATCCACTGAAGACATTCTTTGCAACATTCGCCAGAGACCTAAGCATTTAAGACACAGCATACATATCTCTGCAACTGGCTTTTCCTCATTAACCAAGGACAGTACTGCTATAGTTTACACTAAGAAAGACAATGACCAGGAAGGAAAACAAAAGAAAAATAAAAATCAACTCCCATCTGGGGATTAAGCACAGTACCTACTTCTGATTTTTCATTTTAAGTAAACCTAAAGAACAGGTCATTTTTAACAAACATTCATTTAGAAAGAAGTTATTTGGAGAAAGCAACCATGTGCTTCAAATGCATCAACGAAAAGAAACCACTGAGAAGATCATAGAAAATCTTCTCACCAAAGAGTAAAAAACCCACTGGACCTGGGAGGGTGTAAACCAAGAGCATAGGTTTATCCCCACCCAAGCAGAAGGGCGCCTCACAAGAAGTGGTTATGCTTTGGGTGCCACAGGGATTGTCCATATTATTTGGGCCTTTAGAAAGTCTTTATATTTAACTTCCAAAGAAAAGATACCTTTTCCATATTTTTTCAAATCTATTGAAACACTGCCAGTCTCCATAAAGACAGTTCTTCCAAAAGCACTTTAAGAACTGGTTGTCAGATAGGCCCTTAGCAATTTCCCTTCATGTATTCTTCTGAACATCAAGAAGGAAGGACTTCCTGTCATTTTGTAGACGGTACAAGATGAATGTACATTTTCCAAACCACTTTCCTCAACTGTTTTTTTTTTTTTTTTTAAATAGAGATGGGTCTCACTAAGTTGCCCAGACTGGAGTAAAGTGGCTATTCACAGGTACAATCATAGCTCACCAGCCTCCTGAGTTCAAAGCAATTCTCTTGCCTCAGTCTTCTAAGTAGCTGGAATATATAGTCAGCTACTGTACCCAGCTCCAAAATTGAATTTTTTAAGGGAGATATTCAGCAGAAACAGGGTGCAACAGTCCCATAAACTGGAAAAACAGCAGATGTTTTTTCCATGTTAAAGAGGTTTCCTTAAATGCAGGACTTCTGGAAGTTACTAACTATGAATCTCTCATGGTGGGGGGAGCATGGGCAGCATTTAACACACATACATTTGAGTACTATTACTGCTGCCCACTGACACCAGAGTAACATCCACATTATAAACACTGAGAAGGGCTGCAGTTCAATACTGCACAAGCATCTGGCCTTCTGACAATGATGCAAACAACTGTATTACCACATAAAGCTGATATCCAGAGAAAGAATAACCAGTAAGTAGAGCTTTCTTTATAACTAAGTTATCTGAATGTAATCTAAATTTAAAAGAGGTAACACATTCCACTCCTTTCTAATGATTTAAAACTAAATAGGCCCTCAACAAGCAATCTGTGAAAACTATACAAGAGATTCTCTAGTCGCTAAGAAACCTTAACTACAGACTTCTGCCCATTGCCAGCTCTGGCATGTCTCCCATTCTTTTCTCTCTTCCTCTCTAATAAACTTCGTCTAAAAAAAAAGAAAGAAAGAAAGAAAGAAAGAAATACTAACTGCCCAATAGCTAGGTCTGAATCAAAGATGATTCTGACAGTTCTGTAATCTCTGTATCACCGTCTCTGCAGCAGGGCTCTAACTGCTTTGAAACCTCAATTCTGATAACTGTGTATCACATAGTTATCACATAAATACCTGCTCAGTTAACCTTCAACAAAGAAATGTAGCTGTGAATACAAGTTTGCCTACAGTAAGTTCTAACACTGATAATTAGTTTGAAATTCAAACTAACTGGGGAGGGGGGAGATAAAATCTAGAACTTTATGTGACATTCCGAACAGTGACAGCACTCCATAAAACAATTGTTCCAGGTTAATGACAGAACACAGAGAAGTGCTTTAATCTCTCTTGAAAAATATCAAAATGGGCAGCTTTATTCTGTTAATTACATTTCATATGAAATTCATGCTTCAGCAACAAAAGTAACTGTGACAAAATGCCCTTAGTTTTACTGGCTCCTGTGAGCAAAGTCTCTTAATACACACAACAGAGCAAATGAGAAAGAAAAGCTCTGCAGGGTTCTGACTCACTTGCTTCCCTGATCTCATCTGAAAGCTGGGTCTGTCTCTGAGCAATAATATATGCCATAACACACCAAATGGCCATAATACATTTTCTGGAAAATCAAGCAGGTTAGATGGCTTCGTCTATTATGTTGATTAGACAGCCTGAAGCTCAAAACTCTGGAAAACAAGGTTAACAGGGCAATAAACTCTTAGTCTGAAGGCCAATCCTCTCCCAGTGTAAAATGTCATGTTTCTAAAAATCTTAAGATGTACTTGCCTCCACCACTATCCCACTCTGCAGGGCCATCACAGCCCAATTTGTGGTTGAAGATAAAAAGCAAGGATAAATTCAAAAGATGAAAAATACTAAGCAGATGGTAAAGTGTGAGAACAAGCAGAATGGGAAAATAAGGAAAGAACTCAATAAATGCACCAAGCAGGAGAGATGACCAACGCAAGGCACACACAGGCAAGGAGTGGGCCACCTCAATTGACCAAAAGTGGGCCACATGTCTACTGAACTGAGTTCTCCTACTCAAAATCACTAGCTCCTCTTCTGGGTTCCACGCCTTCCTTAACACGTGAAAAGGGTTAGGTATGCCCCCACAGTGCTAGGATTGGTCCCTCACCACAAACACCACAAAGTCCCACACGTAGCGCTGCTCACCTCCTGGCCTGTAGACAACATCATCCTCGGTGATGTACGATGTTATCTCACCAGTGTCTGTTCTTTCATAACGAGACTTTTTTTTCGGTGGTTTCTTTTTATTCTTCTTCGTGGACTCCTCTGTGGTGGCACTATTGTTGTCATTGTCCTCATCTTCACTGTGATCACTCTCAGCATAATTTTTGGCCCCTCCTTCCAAGGTACAACTCCTGCGTGGCCTAGAATTCTCACTTTCCCTTGCTTTGTCTCGTTTCTCTCTCTCTCGGTCCCGGTCCCGGTCCCGGTCCTTCTCTTTCTCTTTGTCTTTGTCTTTGTCAGCTGTCATGATTCGCCACGTGCCTTCTTCTGTCCTCTCACGGCTAGGCCTCCGTGAAAGGTAGACAGTAAGCCTGGGCTTCAGTCTTCTGAATTTCTCACTCAATTCCAGGGAAAATCCAACCACTCCAACAACCCCAACGTTTCAAAAATGCTAGGGGGAAAAGAAAGAGAAAAAAATTGGTTTTACGTTAATACTTTCTCAAACGTCCTTCCTAAAATAATGAGGTTTTTTTTCCTTTTAAACAAATTTCTTACTTATTCAGGCTTTACACCTAAAAACTTCTCACAAACCATGGGGAAAAAATCCAAACAACTGATATAAAACTGAAATATACAGTTCTTGGCCTCAGTTAACCAATGGTTTGGTGTTTTCTACAACACCAGTAGTGAAAGTGTGAACACAGAAGAGTACACTCTACTTCCTATATACCAACTGTTTTCTCCATTTTAAGGAAAAAGCAAAATGTATCCTGGTGGACAACATATAAAGGTTATTATTATACCACAACATTAATTTAAAGGGGAAAGAGCCTGTAGTGAAAATTATTTCTACCTGAAAAAATAATAATAACTTGGATAGCCATGGATAGCTCAGGATATCACTATATATATCATTATATATGTGTGTGTGTGTGTGTGTGTGTGTGTGTGTGTATGTGTGTGTATTCATTCTGAAGATTCCTCCTAGCTACTTCTACAAATTTCAAGAGCTCCTTTCAAGAAAAAATATAAGATTTGACTCAAAAGAAGGTGAGAGCTTCAAAGCATGAGTCTTTCACCTTCAATTACATTTTATACAGCTTCTTAGTCTACCATCTTCTCGGTCTGCCATTTTAGTTATGTTCCAAGAAAAATGGTTTGTCTAAATATACACACTATCTCTGCCTTAACAAAACATAACAGTTTCCAGAAACAACCTTCCATCTTTAGGGAATATTAGGTGGATTTTACATTCTTCCAAATTTCCACTATAAATAACTTCCCTGTAAACTTCTCCCCAGAACTAAACCCAACAAGAAAAATCTGGAATTTTTAAGAGATGACAATGATATGAGTAAATCCCAAACTCCAACCCAACACAGTTATTGTAAGAATTTTATAGCAGGAAAAATACTTTTATTTACAAATCAGTTTTGCAACAGACCTAAAATCCAATAATTTTCTTTCGTGATTTTGTTTTATCATCTTCTTCAACAGTTTATCTCACTTATTCAACAACCTGTACCAAATACTACCTATATGCCAGTTGTTCAGAACTAAAAATACAATGAGGTGGGAGGAAAGACTCATGGTCCAAAAGGAGTCAACTGATTAACCTAATAACTATCTGTTTCTCACGCACCCAGGGCCTGAAGAAGAAACACATGCTAACAAACAAAAGACTGGTTCTCTTCTCTTAAAGACAACAGCAAACAAATCAGTTTGCCTCAGATTCAGAGAAAATGCTCTTTGATTATGCCAAATAACAAGAATTATCATATACTCTCTCCAAAGCTCTTAAGTCAAAACTAATACCAAAAAAGACCTCCCCACAAGCATGTGAAATATACTTACACATTCAGGAACATTAAAAAATGTGAACAGTAGCAGCATTTGGAAGACAGAAAATGAAGGACAAATAAGGCTGACCATCTGTAGGCACAGTCAGAAGGTTGGAAGCATGTAGCCCAGACATAGATCACCTCCCTCTACATGACAAGGCAAGCACAGTTTCAGATAGTATTCAAGCTTCTATCTTTTTATTTATTTATTTATTTTCTTATTTTCTTGAAAGAATATCTCGGCTCCATCACCAAAGTGCAGTGGTATGATCATGGCCCACGGCAGCCTCAAACTCCTGGGCTCAAGTGATCCTCCCACCTCAGTCTCTCAAGTAGCTAGAACTACAGGCGCACACTACCACATCTGGTTAATTTTTTTTTTGGTAGAGATAAGGGTCTCGCTCTGTTGCCCAGGCTGGTTTTGAACCCCTGGCCTCAAGTGAGGATTTCAATTTTCTAAGTATATTTCAAGAAAAGGAAAAATTACTCCAGTGCCTACAAGTTTTGCCCAGATGAGTCATCTGGTAAAAGGGCCTAATAAACTCCCAAGGCCCCAAAGGCCACTAGTGCTAGCAACTAAAATGCACAAAAAGATATATTACCTTCTACCAGTCTTAAGTTTAGAGCATGAATGAGCCAATCGTGCAAGAAATAAAACTATCAGCTACCATAGTTGTTAAAACATTTCTGACACTGCAACCATATCGAGGTCTATTTTGAGTCTAAAAAGAATGGGAGATTCAGTAGAAAAATCTCCTCCTTACTTGCAGTTTAGGACAGAAATACTTTGGGTAAGTTTAAGTAAAAAAGAGTGATGGTTGTATAACTCTGTTAACTCATTAAAAACATTAAGCTGTGCACTTTAAATTGGTGAACTGTATGTGAATTATATTTCAATAAAGTTGTTTTTATTTTTTTTAATTTTAAAGCTGTGGGGTCCAATTCAGGGAAGTTGTTTTTAAAAAAGAAAAAGAGAAAAAAAATTCTCCCTAGGATTAACAAGATAACTGCTCCACGAATTTCAGCACTCAGAGAAAAAAATAATAAATTCAAATTGCATAATCAACACTGCCTACTACAAAATCAAACACTGTTTCTATGTAAAAAGAAAATAGAGTTGTTTCTGCCAAGAGTGAGCAAGAAAATTCGAGAAACAACAGAGATGACGTCTACAGATGAAATCCAGCATATATGTATAAATATAAATCAACATTCCTAGTTATCTGAAAGTTCACTCTATAGTATATTATCTGTATGTTATTAACACACTTATAGTTAAAGGATTAGAAAGTAACATTATTTGTATATTAATAACATGTTTATATAGCCAAGTTCACGTAACTAAAAACACTGATAAGCCAGATAAAAGTCGATTCAATTACCATTCACATTTGGCTTTAAATATATGTACATATAGAATATATATTAAATGTATATGAAATATGGCTCAGTGGAGATATATATTTTTTCTCTGCATTTAACACAGTAATCATAATTTTTCTCAGTATACAGTGACCAACATACACCAGTGATGTGACATTTTCAGAGAGGAACCCAGAGAGGAACCAGATGGCACCGTGAAGGAAAGCTGTCACTTCAGTTTGCAAGAAACAATCCTCAGAGCAAACCACAGCATCTTTAGAGCAATATGAGGTTTTCAGAGCAGGTCCCTTGCCATTCCCACTTAACAGACTTCAAAACTGAGAAGAGGTGATGTGCACAAGGCCACGCAGCCATGAGCCTGACAGAGGCAGGATTCTAGAGCCACTTACGCCCCACCTGCCCACTTAGGACGTGCTATTTCCCAGCTCTTCATTGGCACTTGCATTTCCTACATGGATTCACATTGACAATTCACACAGATAGATTCAGAAAGCACATTCACTCTGCTCACCCCAAAGCTATTCTTCTCTAGTAAGAAAGCCAAAAACATAGAAAATATCTGTGTCAATCACCACTCAACCTAGTGAAGCAGGAAACACACGAAAACACACTTTAAATATAAAAGGAAGAAAATCTAATACAGAACACATCTCAGTTTCACAAGTTTCATCACTGACAAACGACTACTGAACGCCAACTATGTGTGACTTGCTGCCATAGGTGCTAGGAAATAGCAAAGAACGACACAGGAGAGTCCCTGCCCCAGGGAGCATCTACCGGAGATGGGGTGAAGGAGGATGCAATTCTTAACAAGCCTCATGAAGGTAGCTTTGACCTTGAGTAAGAGAGAAGAAGTCAGCAGGACACATACAGAGAGAAATTCCTGAAGAGGAAAAAGCAGTACAAATATCCAGGGGCAGGAGTGACCAGGCTCAACAAAGACACAGGAGGCCAGAGGGCAGGAGTGGCATGAGATGAGTGATAGTGGTCAGAGGTGAAGGGGCTAAGGACAGAGGGCTGGACCTGTCAGGTCTCGTGGGCCAGGGCAGGACTTGGCTTTTACTCAAGGGAAATGAAGTGACTCAAATGACACTTCAGCAGGGATGTGAGGGGCAAAGAAAGACATGCTGACTTCTGTTAACATAATATCACTCTGGCCACCGAGGAAAACCGAAGGCATGCAAGTTGCAGCAAGAAGACTGATGGGGGGGGGGGGCCTTATTGCAACAACCAGGGAAGAGGCGAAGGCAGTAGGGATGGGCCAGCGGGGCAGCAGCCGGGAGGGAGGAGGTCTGATTTTCTGTGCATCTGAAAGGTAAGTCAAATAAGATGTGCTGATGAACTGCAAGGTGAGGCATGAAAAAATGTTAAGAACAAGTCCCAGGAACCCAGCCTGAGCAGCTAAAGGTGCCATTGTGTGCGTTTTGTGGGGGAGATCTAGCTATGAACGTGTGAGGCTGGAGATAAGCACTTAGCTTTTCATTTGGTTTCTTTTGTGTGTGTGTGAGTCAGTCTCACTCAAAGGTGTCATACTCACAGCCACCTCAGCCTTGACCTGCTGGGCTCAAGCGATCCTTCCGCCTCAGCCTTCCAAGTAGCAGGAACTTGTTATAAGCATGTACCACTACACCCGGTTAATTTTTCTTGATTCATTGTAGAGATGAGGTCTCGTCAAGTTGCCCTAGCTGGTCTCAATCATCTCACCTTGGCCTCCCAAAGTGCTGGGAATATAGGCATGAGTCACCATGCCCAGCCTTTCATTTGGTTTCTAAAGCCATGAGACTGAGTGAGATCACCAAGGAAGTGCGTGTAATTTTTCTGATAAAAATTGTTAAACTCGGAAAAACATTACTCATGCTTGAGTGGACAAGATATTCAAAACAGATGTACAAGTTATACATTTCCAAAAGCATGACCCCAGGACTCATTTTTAAAAAGTGAATTCCTCTCACAATCTGACTGTAAAGTTGTACCTCATCTTTTTTTTTTTTTTTTAGTTGGAGTCTCACTCTGTCACCCAGACTGGAGTGCAGTGGCCGCTCCCGGCCACC